TAGTGTGTATATATATATATATATATATATATATATATATATATATATATAATTTGGGAATTAATATTAAATTATACATATTAATATAATAATATTAATTATTTTAACACATAAATTACAACAGAAATTAATAATTCAACAAGTAATTTATATCCTTTATTATGTAATTTTACGAACAAAATGGAAAAAATATTTAAAAAATGAAGATGATTTATGTGATAACACTGTCTGCTTTACAGTGGAAGTAATAAGCCCGAAAATTGTGAAACGCCAGCCTAACGACAGAAATGAACAATTTATACCATCTACTTCTAGTCCTTTTACTTTAATCGTAAATGAGGGTATAGCTCTCATACAGAAGCACGACGCGCCCACTCATGAACAATACAAAAACTTATTGATGCAACCTGTCAAAAGCGTGACGTCCGTGAAAAGCTTGAAAGCCATTCTAGACAATATCGAGGCTTTGTGCGATCATTTTGTCGACCTTTTAGTCGTCGTTACATTTGTAAGTTGCAATCAATAATAGATTCAATTGTTCTGTTTCTTGCAAAAATAGAAAATGAATAGGTTATTGAATAGATTATGATTAATTAGTAAACAATTATGACTAAAATTTGAAATTTTTTAAATAAAAATAAAATTAGTATTGAAATATTGCTCTTTCGATCAAATTATCACGTTTTCACGTTTTTCGAACATATTAATTTGTATACATTTATCTATAAAATGTATTGCAGATTGCCGATACGCGCAATATAATGACCCGGGATGGACGAGCTTTACTGTGTCGCAGTTTCGAAGTCACAGATGGATCGACGGACAATGCGGTGTCATTAATACTGTGGGAAAAAGACTGGGTCGAGAGATCCGCGTTTTGGGAACCAAAACGAACAGTATTGTTCTTGATCGACGCTCGTATCGCGTATGATGAATATAAGAAAAAAATGGCGCTAAGTATTTGTGCGTTGAAAATTCAACTTTGACGAATTATTTCATAAATGCGTCAAGCAGCGAAAAAAACTTATCATATTTACAATTTTGTTTTTATTATACGCAGCAAGACAAACGCTGATCATGGAGTGCCCAAACATACCTCAAGCTGCAGAGATTAGAAATGCAGTGCAGCGTTATGATCCTGATTCCATATGCAGTGATCCATTTGCCGTACCAAATCGTAAGAACCGCAATATATATACATATATATATTTATTTATTTATTTATTATCTGGAAATATGATATTTGATAATGAAAGAAAAAAATTGAATCTGTCACTTTTTGTATTTTACGGAAAATTTTAGCGTAATTTTTATTTTATCAACAGCGGACACAATCACGACTGTGATGACAGTACAACAAATCACGGAGAAGCTGCAGAAGAAGGTAACCGTAGAGGGTGAGAGATTGCAATTCGCGGCGATCGTGAAAGTTTCAGTGACTGAAATGAATTTGGACGGCTCACTTCAAGATGTGATATCTATAAAGTGGTAAATTCTTTTTTCATTCACAACATATTTATCATCTAACGCCAAAGACAATACTATCACATTTATTTTCATCTTCAGCGCTTTATGTAAAAAAGTCGTTACGGATGTGCAAGATTCTTGTATGAACTTGAGTTGCCCTGCGGGCAACGGAATCCGGACGCCATTGAATACTACAAAGTTTAACATAAAAGTTAATTTGAAGGACGACACTGGATATCTTATTGGGTGTCGCTTGATCGGTGACGTTGCAGAGCGAGTTTTGGGTTGTACAGTTGAAGAGTTTCAGGTGATCTATTTAAATTAATGTCGAATTATTGTTTTGAGCTATACTCATATAAGATTTAAAAGATTTTTAATTTTTTATCAATTCATTTTCCAAAGCAAAAATAATAAAAATAATAATTAAAAATTTAACACCTAAAATAATTATATAGAATTGATAAGTTGTTACATTTACTAAATAAATATTAATATTAAAATATCGATTTAAATACAATAAATATGATAGATTAGATAATAGTTACTTTTGTAATTATTGCAGGCAATGACAGTAGAAAACCGCGGTGAATTGAAGTGGTTATATTTGTTAGAAAAGTGTAATGTTTGCTTGCACATTCTTGGACCGACATCTGCCTTTCCACGTGCTTTGTACAATATTTTATCTATTCAACCTTGTTCCGAGGAAACGGAGGAAGCAATCGAACAAACTACAGCTATGCTCGAGAATTAAAAATCAATATTCCTTTCTAAGCAGCTTCAATTTTTAATACAAATAATTTATTATAACAGTAATATTATTGGTACATTTTTTATTTTACGTATATAAAAAGTTTTAAATATTTTCTTTCATTTAATATAGAATTTAGTACTCACATAGTTGTTTTCTATTTATATATATATATATCTTATGAATAAATAAATTAATATATATATATATATGTAAAAACTAGAAAAATAAAATTTAAAAGAGATTCGTTCTAGCCGTATCTTTTATGGTGCTTGCACACAGAATACGATAAGAGTTTTGTACGCAGCATGTAAGAAACAATGTTAAATAGGCCCAAATGTTTCGACGCGTTCTTTTTCTCTTTTGTATCGACAAGTGAACTGTTTCTTCGTTTGGTTAGTGGCTCAATGGGAACAACGCTCCCCACCATACGGCCATATATAACAAAGTAGACTATAGAGGTTTGTTCGCGTCGCATGCTCTAATATGCTCCAATCTATAGTACTGCGTTACGTACATTATAGATTGGAGCGTATTGGAGCGTGTTGAAGCTTGCGACGCGAACAAACCTATCCAGACAAACTTGCATAATCGCATAAACATATGCATAAGGATATTGATTAGGCCATTTCCTTATTCATTTGCTTATGGACCAATCAATTTCCTTGAAGAACACTTGAAGAACACTCAGCGAGGGCCGAATCCGTCCTCTCGAAAATCACGTCGGTCCTAGCTAGTGGCTGCACGACTTAACGTTGTCGAATATACTCGCGATTGTGCACTTCCGCGACGGCCAGATATCGCACTTTCCGCCCGAGTAAATTTCGCGAGCACTCACGAGCGCTATATTAAGTTGTCCTCTTCAACAAAATCGAAACTACCCACTTTGAAAGATGCTCCAAATAGCTCGCAGCAGCTTAGCTGTGTATCGCAGTCTTACAAGCAAGAACGAGTGCACTTTCACTCACGAATGGAGCTTTTGT